GCTGCGGGAGTCGCTGCCGGATGAGGCTCTCGGATTTGGTTCTTCGCAGCCTCCCCGAAATAGCTGTCCCCGAGAAACTTTCCGCGTGGAGAGGTTTCTCTGTGAGGTGCCCTAGTTTTCCCTGGGAGATGAGGAAGCTGCTGCTGCTGCTTTGCCTTTTTCTGGGAGCGGAAACGTGGTTTGCATCACCGAGGACGTGTAGCAGCGCTGGTTTTTCAACTCACAGGGGGCCGTGAGCAGTAATAACAAGCTGTTGGCTGCCAGGGCTCAGTGCCTTGTTTTCCGGCACGAAGTACAAAGTTTTGCAAGAGGTCTGAGGTCAGGAATCCAGGCAGTTGAGCTGGTTAAGCTGTTAACACAGCTGTCACTTGCTTTTCTTGATTGCTGGTGATATTACTGTGATCTTACCTAACGATAGGGCTACTAATCTGAAATAACTAGCCGTTAGCTGGACCAAGGGTCACTCCAGTGCTTGTTCCTGGCTAATGTATTATCACACAGGGTGCAAACTGAAACACAAGAGTAGCTTAGGCTGGAAGGAGCCTTATGTGCCACCTGGCCCAGCCCCTTGCCCAAAGCAGGGCTGGCCTTGAAGTTGGACAAAGTTACCCATGGCCTAGCCCAGACCTGAACCAGGAGATCTTTCATGTGACTCCTTGGCTTCTTGCAAGCTGAAATAATTGCAATCAAACCACCCCCATCTGTTAACAAACGTGCAGTCTCTCCCTGTGTAGGAAGCAGCACGTGCTAAAGAGAACTCTTTCCAAAGCAAGTGGCCAGTGTTGCACAGCAGAAAGCCTTGGGAGGAACTTCCAGGATGAAGCCTGTCATCGTGGTGCATGGTGGAGCTGGCAGGATCTTCAAGGAACGGGAAGAGGGGTGTCGTGCTGGTGTTGTCAGAGCTGCTTTGCAAGGCTATGGTGTCCTGAAACAGGGAGGCAGTGCCCTGGATGCAGTTGAGGAGGCAGTACGGTCGATGGAAGATGATCCTCATTTTAATGCAGGTAATTTCTCAAGAATTAAGTGGGCTTAGATTCATCTTGTGTTTCAAGTGTTTTGCCCCGATGCTTCTGAAAATGCTGGCTTGCATTATTATTATTATTATTGCTGCATTATTATTGAATTATGCTCACTGCAGTGGAGTAAATACTAGTATCACAAAATAGTTGATTTCTCTGTGTAATAAAATGGCATGGTAGGTAGTGTAGTTGGGAATGAGTACACTTAGGAAGATGAGTTACTCTTTGCTCATTCTTCAGTTTTATGTATCTGTCACTTCATTCATGTAGTGCCATTTTACTTTTCTGAGGATCTTCTCCTGTTACTGTGCTGTGTATATTCAGTTTTAAGACATGGACTCTCCATATTATGGAGTATGTGTTTTGTTAACATTCATGATTAAGACACTTAAGATATAGCTTGCAGCGTTGTTAAACCTTAACACTTGAACTTTACTTGTTGCCAGAGGAATACTGTTCTTGGGGATTTTGGGTGGTTTTCTCTTAATTAATGCTTGAAATTAGTGCTTTTGTAGATAATATTACAGAAGTAACACAGTGATGATATATGAGTCATGAATCCATATATTAAGGGTTCATAACTGGATTTCCTAATGATTAATGTAAATTAATGTTAGTAGTCAAATATTTTTCTCCTCTTTATATGACCTCGAATTTAGTATTTTGATGAATTTCAGCAAAAATATTCTCCACTCCTACCAAGGTGTGTCAGGAATGAACACAGAAGCAAAGATGTGTAAGTGCTCAGTGTTTTAGATAACATAGCTATTAGTTACGTGCACACTTAATGTGCAGGAGTTCATTTGTTCCTTCTGACCTTGCAACTGAGAGCAAGGGAGAGCTTTTATTTCATATGAAACTTTCAGTGTTCGACTTGGGTCGAACATTTTGATTTTTAGAGCATCCAAGCTGAAATCATGCAATGGGCTTACAGGTGTGGTGGGTACTATTATGTAGTTAGCATCAGGGTGGCATTTTGTCATTTCACTTTTACTTAACTGGGCTTGAACCTTAAGCCCTTGTTCAGGTTTGACTGTGCTGATCGAAGTGGCAGGTAGTCTGGTAATCACTTACAGATACATCTAATTGTGTTAACACTCATTAGGTACATCTGCTCCCAGTAGCTGGCAAGAATGAGCTGAAAGCTGGGTAAAGAGGACCCTGATTGTAGTGGCTGTTTAAAACTTACTGTGTGTTATTTATCTTTGTAAAAGAAAAAAATCGGTTTTACTGTAATATTTGCTAGGAAAACACAGACATTGCTAAGAGACAACAATAAAGATTGGGTAGAATGGGCATAAAGATCAAGTTGTGTCCTTGTTTGAATGACAAGCTGTAGCCATGCTGTGTAGTTTATCTTCATGTAGGCTTGGTGGAAGGGCTCAGAGGCTATACTGGTTTAGAAAATTGCCATTTAGTGACTTGTGCAGCATAATGAAGTCATTAAAGTCTGCTTGTGATGAGGAAGTGGCCTTGGTTACATTTCCTTCATGTGATATCTTTGGCTATCAGTATTAGCCAGCTTTCTGTGAATACTCCAGATATAAGAACTGGCACTGTAGCAATCCTTGCACATTCTTTCCTCCACAGCCTTTGCAGAACAGAGGACAGATCTGTCTATCTGTAGACAGAGGCAAGTGGAGTACTCCTCTCAGTACCCCAGCTGTCATTTGGCTAATGTCAGGTTCTTCCCCTAGAGGGTGTTCGGGCACTGGAACAGCTCTCCAGGGAAGAGGTCACAGCACCAAGCCTGGCAGAGTTCAAGAAGCATTTGGACAGTGCTCTCAGTCACATGGTGTGATTCTCAGGGATGTCTTGTGCAGGGCCAGGAGTTGGACTCGATGATCCTCTTGTGTTGTGTCCCTTTCCAAATATTCTGTGATTCTGTAATGTCAGATATGTTTGTTATTTGTGTCCCCTTAGATTCTCTGACCTCTGTTCTCTCTGCTCTTTTTCCAGCCCTTTGCTTAACAAGTGAGCCAAACTTTTTATTTTCAGCACTGTTGCCAATGGCTACCATGGCCTCAGAGGCAGGTAGTCCAATCCCATTGCATTGGAAGGTAGGTGGAAAGGCAGTCTGCAACCACAGAAGGAAGGATTCATCCTACCTGAGATACCTGAAGTTCAGTATCTTGCTTTGCCGTGGTGTACAGACTTTCACAGTGGTCAGTGGAATGAGGAAAGGTGGCTGTACAGCTCTCTGAGCTGTAGGAGTTGTGGCTGCCCCGTCCCTGAAGGTGTTCAAGGCCAGGTTGCTTGGGGCCTGAGCAGCCTGATCTAGTGGGTGGCATCCCTGCCCATGGCAGGAGGTTGGAACTGGCTGTTCTCTAAGGTCCCTTCCAACCCAAGCAAATCTATAATTCTATGGCAAGTAGAGAGCACCTGTCTCTCTTCATCAGCTGTAAAAGGAGGATTTTGTAGCAAGGTGCCTTTGATTACAGAAACTGTCTGCAACTGTTCTATGCTCAGGGAACTTTAGGAAATTGTAAAGTGCCTCCCATGAGAGGTGTCCAGTAGACAACACAATACTATTGATACAGGGTCCTGGCAGTTTCCCCTGGAACCCTAGTTATAGTCACTGATACCTGAGAAGGGGGTACTTCCCCTGGAACCCTAGTTCTAGTCACTGATACCTGAGAAGGGGGTACCCTATTCTAGATGAAATGTTATGATCATGGGCTAGAAAGCCTACCTTGTCAAAGGAAGTTAAGAGAGTGTGGCAGGGTTTAGCTAAGAAAACAAAGCCTACTTATTCCTTACACCAGCATAAAGGAAAAGCTGGAAGAATGATGTTAACATGGGTAGCACAAGGCAATTAACCTGTAAGCTCTTTATAGATCAGTGTAGTCTACAAATTAACACATTGTGTTGTGCACACATGCAGAACTGCACTCTGGAATATCTTATGCAGTCAGAGACAGGCAAAAAATAACTTCTGGGAGGTGTGTCTGTATGTGGCAGGGGGAGTTTTGGAGATTACAGGAGGAGGATTACAGGATTTTGTTTCCTCTTGTTACAGGGGATTTAGCTCCATATATTCAGGTTTGCAGTACATTGGTATAGAAGTCTTATGTCAGCTGTTAACAGTGTTTTCTGACCAGCTTTATCTATGTACAATGTTCAGGTATTTCTACCTGAGCTGCTGTGTAAGTCTGCCATGTTTTGGTTTGGTTTTTTACTTATTTTGAGCTTTAGTTTTCACCATCCTTATTAGCAAGGCTTGTGCACTCGATGACTTACAACCTATTATTCCCCTGTGATACAATTACTGGCATTATTTAAAAAAAAATCCACGCTATTTGCATTGTCTCATTTTGTATCTCATTAATTTTCAATTAGCTTAGCGATAGCACCGATAATTATAGAAGAAAATAACTATGTGACATTTTATTACTTAATTTATATTTTTAATTCCTTTATCTACTGGTAGTGAAGAACTTGTTCTTCCAAGCTTTTGCTACAGTAGTGAGTGGACGCTTTTATTCTGCTCCATTAATTCTGGCAGTTTCTTGGAATGTTGTGTGACGTTAATCTGTTGATAGGATCGAACACTATACTATTTCTTTTGGTTATGCTGTATCCTCCTGTGGAAGAACTGTGAAGGTAAAATAGTTTTGTGCACTTAACGTGATCTGGGGAATAAAGAATTCTGTTCATGGTTGTAGTTTTAACTTTCACACCAAGTGTATTATTTGAGCTGGAGGTGTGATTTTCGTCTTATAAAAAATAAAACTGACTTTTAAAGTAGGTGTTGGACTCTGTGAGACTTCTGCTAATGGTTGGATTTTGTGGTTATACTCAGCAGTGTTTCTGCTGTTTTGTTTGTGTTTGGGAGATGCTTGCAGTAAGTCAGCAAAGTGGGAAAGAGAAAGGTTGCTTGATGAGAGCTAATAATTGAATCACCTGGTGGTTAGCTCTTAATGACTTTCTTCTTTTTCTCTTTCTCCCTACTTTTTTTTGGTCTTTAGGCTGTGGATCTGTTCTAAATGAAAAAGGTGAAGTAGAAATGGATGCCATTATCATGGATGGAAAAAATTTAGACTCTGGAGCAGTATCTGCAGTTAAATGCATAGCAAACCCAATAAAACTTGCTCGACTTGTGATGGAAAAGGTATGTTGATTATGTCCTGGAGGATGAAGCATTAGAACTTCATCCACTATATTGATGCACCTCAATGATGATGTTTGTGTAGTGTTTTAAAGCAGGAGAAAAGGAAGAAATGGATAGAAGTGTTTGGAAACTATGGTCATGACCATGAAGCACTTTTATTTAAGGGTTTTTTGAGTGAGATTTATAAAAATAAGGAAATAAAAGTTCTGCTGTGCATTTGCAAGCTCAAGGAGAAACTGACCTATACATGTCAGTCTCCTGTAGTTCCACCGCAGGTGTTCAAGATTCCTTTTTGTTTCCTTTGTTTTTTTGAAGAGCTTTTATGCTGTCACTGAATCTTCTGCTTGATCTCTCAAGATTAAAGTTAGATAATACACTGCTCACTTTGCAATGATAAGGAACTGAATTAAATGACCCAATTACATATTTGGCTCTGTAATGCACTCTTAGGTTGTTCTAGGTAGCCTTTTCCATCGTGACCTGATCAGATGATAACTGTAGTGTGAAGTCATAGTCTTCCAGCTGTAGAACATAACATTAGCTCTATATGGTGGTGACACATTTTCTGAGAGAATCAAATTTGCAGAAAAATTATTACTTGACCTTCTACATAAGATAATCCCACCTTGCCCCACTAAGAAGTCGCAGCAGACTTCTCTTAGTTTTCAGAAATGGTGCAACTGGTGTCGGGGTAGAGTAGGTGATTTGTGTGGTGTCTGCATCTGGTTTACTATTACTAGGCTGTGACAGTGATCAAAAAGTTTGTCTTGTCTTTGGAGTTTACATTTTCCATCCTGCTAGTGCAGCTGCCCCATTGTAGAAAAGGGTTCATAATTGCAGAAACACTAATTAACAAAGGAGGTTTATGTTTTTATAACCTTTCTAAGTGACTTTTGAGGAAACGACTTCTTCTGGTGATCTGTAAAGATTATTGAAATTTAATTTGTCTTCAATGGCCCCCAAAGCAGATAGGATATTTTGGTGTCTTTAATTGGAGGATAGTTCTGCTTTTAAAATCAGAAATTTCCCTAAAATATTTAATCTAGATACTTCAGTGAAATGTATATCTACTAGAAAACAGTGTTAAAACTTGGGATGAATAAGCTTTGCTTCTTCATAGGATTTTATTTTGTCATTTAGCTAGAACAATAAATAAGTATAGGTGGTAGACAGCTTCAAACGACCAAATTTAAGTTTGAGAATGTAAGTGAAAGGTTGGGGGAGAGATGTCTCTAGCATGTTGAGGTGAATGTTATATTTTATTTTATTCTGTAGAGAACTTCTTTTAGTGCTCATTGTTCATTTCATATGCCAGAATATGGTTTAGAGGTTACAGCAGAGTGACAGGTTGGACTTGGTGATCTTAGAGGTCTCTTCCAGCCTTGATGATTCTGATTCTAAGCACTGATTTATTTTCTCTGTTGTCTTGCCCATAACAAAATCTCATTTAAATCAACAAAAATAAAATGAAAACAATTGTGTTGGATTTTGAGAATATAACTTTCCAAAGTGTGTTTTAAAAATCAAACAAAGCAAAACACAAAACCCCAAAAGCACTGTCCTTTGTCTTGTCTCTTACAAGGCCTTTCTTGTCATTGTGTATTGCTTTTGGTGTTCAGAAGTACTGAGGCTAAATTTGAAACTAAATCATTAAATTCTACAGTACAGGACCAAGTATAATGATGTAGCCCTAAAACCATGTCGTTTTGTGGTCAAGGTATTGCTCTCTGCCCACATGCAAAACAAAATAAGTCTGTGTAGATGATCAATTTCAAATGTAAATGTTTGCCTAAATTGCTTAATATATCTTGAGATGAGTTTCTGCTGCTTCTCCTTCAGGTTTATAAATGAGACCACCAACTGATGTTGCTCTTCTGTTCATCTTGGACAGGAATTTTGGGACACCAATCCAAGCTATTTCATAGTACATTTCAGGTTGTGTTTTGGTTCACTGTCCATAATTTAAGACAGTTTTAACTCTGTGACCCACAGGTAATGAGACTGTAGTTTTCCTGGGCTCTTAAGCATATTAGTATGCTTACTTTCCAGTGGTTTTGAGCAACCTCAATGCCATAAGGAATTTTGAAACCCGCAGCTCCCAAAAACAAACCAACCAACCAAAACCACCTTCCCTGTCTGCTTGTAACTGTATTTCCATCCTATCATGGAACAGTATGGGCTCCATCTGGTGGCCAGAGTAGCTCCTCTAGGTTGTTGCACACATTTATCCCTCTGTGCTGTCACTTTCTCACTGGGCTCAAACTTGTCCAAATTCTTGGAGCAGAACAAAGGAGGGCACCAGAATAATTTCCATTCATTATTTACTCTGCTGTTGATCAGGGAAGTTTCTAGAGTTGGAGGACTTTTAGTACATCACCTAATGCAACAAATTACTGAGAAAGTAGTTAGATTTCTGTTGAATTATTCCTGTTCGTAGTGAACATAAATAGAATGGTACATTGAAATGTAACATGGGGCATATAACCCCTGTCAGGTCCAACAGTTCCTTAGCTGAGCTTTTCATGGACATTAGAGCACTGACTCACTGGTATATGTGAACTGTGTATGTTTTCCCCTACCATATCATCCAGCACTTTACATTAGACAAAGGAGAATTTAGCTTAGACTTCTCAAGGCAAAGGGCTAAACTAAACTTGCCAAAATTTGTTGCTTGTAAGATCTCTTGAGCCCTTTTTCTTGGTCCTCTTGGATTACTTTTTATAAATGTCTCCCAGAAAAATTAGGCACCTTAAGTTAGCAAATATATTCATGAAACTCTGGAAGGATGAGACAGAAAAATGTCCTTTTGTGTTGTTTGCCAATGTTCTACCAGCTGTTTTGATTGAGGAGATCTATGGTAAAGAATAACAAGTAAAATTCACCTTAAGAGAACTTCTTTTCAGTGAGGACTGAAAAGGAAAAATCAACCTACAAAACTTTATCATAGAAGCTTATTCCTCCATCTGCAAGTATTTCTTGTTTGTGCAGCTGAGGAAGGTGGGTGAGCTATCCAAATACGCATGTGGGAGGGAGCCCTTTGAAAAAGGTTTTAGAAATAGCTTCCATTTTCTACAATAAATCTTTATTTTAAAAAAACCCAAACATATTTAAAGGATGATAATTGCTGAAGAAAGCAGGTGCTGGAGGACACGGCCTCCTGATAAAAACAAAGACAATTTCAATACATCTCCTAAAAATACCCCAAACAAACCAAGCAAACAAACCCCACGCCCACAAATAAAAGCCAAACCCAGTGTGAGTATTGGATTGTGTGTTTCTGGTGAGTCCGTGGCAGAGGGGGGCAGTGTTGCACAAAGAAGTTGGCTTTCAAGTTGAAGAGCACTACTCACCAGCTCTGTTAGAAATGAGTAGTAGGTCTTACGTTGTCTGGTAACATCACTCGGTATGTGAGCCTGATGTCCACTCTTGCACATATGCAGAGGACTTCTTCCTTGTCACCCTTAGTCTTGTTCCCTAAAGCAACACTCTTGAATTGAGCACTTAATTTCTCAATTAAAAGGTATTAAATTGTCAAAAATGTTAGATGTCAGAACTGCAACATGAGGAATGTGACTAAAGCATAGTCACGTTTCCCACCTCTGGAACTGTGTGAAGGGGTTAGTGCAGGGGCTGTGTCAGGCTGAAGTAGAGATCAGTGTCGTGATTTGGGAAGAGGTTCATCTGGAATCCTGTAAAACGATGCAGTGCTATGGGTTGGTCATGGTAGGGATCACTTGTCATTGCTTCAGAAATCAACAGAAGTTGATGGTCTGCAATATCTTAAAAATCTGAAGCTTTGAGACTGTAAACATCCTGCAGAACATAGCATGACACACAAATACCCAACCTCTGCCATCCTTGCTGCTGGCTGTGAGCTGGGTATGTGCCACCTTGGTGCTCTGCAGACCTGCTGCTTCCAGCATCATGTGGTTCTGCTTTTTGGACCTCAGTTGGTACCTGTGTGCTGTGCTGCTGCATGGATGTTCAAGCTTGCTTGAGGTTAGGTGCTGTGCTCTGAAATTATTCCATCCTGTGTAGTCAGACCACTGCTCCTCTAAAACCTTCCCAGGCTCTGATGGGTGATTAAAGCTGTGTAGTTGTTCCCGAAGTTGATGCTTATTTTTTTGACACAGATATTTAAAAAAATAAATTTTACAAAATCAGATTTTAGAGCTGCTACTAAAGTATAAGGATTAATTAAGCAAATTTATCTGGCAAGTTTCTCTAAAACATGAATTATCCAAGCTGTACAGACTTTGAAGCATGGAATTAACTCAGATTGTTGTATTAAAATCTGGTTGAAGTGCTTTGCTAAATAATGGAATCAAAATAGAACTTCTGCAGATATTGTTAGAAGAGAGCAAACGTTTTTTGGTCAAACCCCTTAGAACTTTTTTGTTATTAAATTTGAAATTCTGAGTCTATAAGAATAGCAACTAGTTGAAGGAAATACTTAAAATTGTTCAGCTGATGTTAAGAAACACTTCAGTGTATGATATTTACATCTGTTGGTTATTACTAGGTGTAATGCCTTCAGGCAGAACAGGAACTTATTTACCAGTCTTTCCTTCTGAGTAAAATCCTTCTAGGTCTTTTAGTTCACTGAACAAAACAGTTAGTTATGTAGCAATTTGGAGACTGACTGGAAACAGTATAAAGAAGTTGCCTACAAATTAGCAAAAGAACAAATTTACCGATTTTTCTTTTCATTACAGTAATTGTTAAACAGATAAATGCAATTCTTTTCTACTAATAATGAAAGTTTGTGTTTTGGAGAGCTAGTGGGAGGGGATATGGACATAGAAATCCAGAAATTTTAAAAATTAAATTTGGAATTTTCATTGTGTGGATGCCTCTAAAAGTAAAGAATAAAAATTAAACTGAATCTTCTGCAGACGAAGCACATGCTGCTGACTGACCATGGTGCACAGCTGTTTGCTCGGGCCATGGGTATTCCTGAGATTCCAGGGGAAAAACTCATAACCGAGAGATCCCGGGAAAGATGGAAAAAGAACCTTGAGCCAGATTCCAACCCTGAAGAGTTTCAGAAGTAGGTAAAACATTTTCTTTCTTTTTAAATTCAAGTAATTTAATTTGTGCTATCTGGTTACAAAAATACCCAAACTAATAAACCCAATCCCAAAAACCCCCAAACAAACAAACCAAACAAGAAAACAAACAAACAAACCGAAGCCCCTTGAAGGTCTGTTTTCCAAATGTTACATGGTTTGTCTTTAAACTGGATTGGGTCGTTAACATTAGACTTTGGCCAGTAACTCCTTCTGAGTGCTGATTGTGGCTGTTGGTTATGAAAAGGAATGAAAAACGTGGCCAAGAAGCTCAGTGGTGTGTGTGAAGAATCATAGAACTATCAAGGTCAGAGGAGACCTCTAAGGTCAGCAAGTCCAACCATTAGCCTCACACTCTGCTGGAACCCCTAAACCATATCCTCCAGCACCAGACACAAACGCCTCTTAAACACTTCCAGGGATGCTGACTCCACCACCTCCCTGGGCAATCTATTCCAGTGCTTGAACACCCTAAGAGCGAAAAGATTTTTCCCAACATTTAATCTCAGTCTCCCCTGTCTCAGTTTATGGCCATTCCCTCTAGAGAGATTCTACTGGATGGTGTTGCCCAACAGCAAAGTGGATGTCACTTGACAGATAAGCCAGTCTCATGTAAAGTAGAGAGGAAGGTGAGCTGGACAGTAAAGGAATGAAAAACATCAGGTGTCAAAAATGGTTTTTATGCCTGTGGGGTAGGCGTAAATACTAAATTGTTTTGAGCTTCCATTTGTACGTCAGTGGCTGTAGCATAGAAAAGCACTGTATTACATTACATAAATGCTGCATTACATGCTGTTCATCTGTTTTGTGAAATAGCAGTAATGAGAGAAGCAGAGCTGAATTTGTAGATCAAAAGGAGGAAAATTCTTCTGTGGGCACGTTAATTAAAGCCCATGAAATGAGGCTATAAACTACAAGCTATATGTTACTTTCAGTACATTTCTAGAAGGAAAAACAAATTAATGAGGTAAATGTAAACATGGTCTTTTAAAATGAAGTGAAGTTGATCATAAGGTCTCAGTCATAGCTCATCTTGTATCCAACAGAAATTTTCCTTTGATCAGTGGGCTATCCAAGGACTGTGTGGTATAATCATGCATTATGAAGAATTTTGAGGATGGTGTAGCCCCCACTGCCACTTGGTGTCCTGAATATATCAGTTGGAATGGCACGGGATCTGTCTTTGTTCTTCAGAACTGCTTCATTTTAGTTCTTTTTTTTTATAACACTGTTAGGCATCTGCACTTTCAGCATTGTCTTGTTCTGGAACATCTGAGAATAGAAAGCTTGTGTATTTCTGGAGGGCTCTGGACTTTTTCCTGTCTTGGCCCCTGTTCTTTTTCTGACAACCAGTGCCCAAATCATCAGCACAAATTCACAAAGTTGAAAACAGGTCTTTTTTCATACAAGCCCATTGCTTCCTGTATCACAGGCAGAATGTTGTTTCTCCCTGGTATGTCCACAGCGATTACGCAGAAACTTGTCTGAGGTGAAGTAGTATTAGTCAGAGGCAACACAAAACCAGATCATACTGGGAATTTGAAGGTTGGTGTGTACTTTACTTCCAGCCTCTAGTCCTCACAGTGTTGGAAACCTTGGGGTTTCATAGACTTTCCAGGCAATGTCTGGTGTCTCCATAAGAGATACCTTTCTGTCTACTGGTTAGGAGCCTGCATTCATTAACACGAAAAGCTTAGGATTCCATTGCATGCACAACATTCCATCTTGCACAGCTTTTTCTCCTGAGAACAAGGTGTGGTTTGATTTATCTGCAGTCTCTCACTCCAAAGATTCTGGCCATACCTTTGTTAAGAATTGCTGGAGCTTGGCAGAGAACCCCACAAAAAAGGGAGCTGACTCTGTCTGTGAGGTAGTAAGTGGGCTCTTAGCCCCTCTGTGAAGCACACTGCAAGAGGAACTTGTGGAGGTATTAATTAACAAGGACCCTGAGAGCAATCAACAGAAAAACTTACTGCTGATGCAGGGCTAAGAGATAAAATAGCAGGTACCTTATTAGTTGAATGGGGATAGAAAAAGTACATGTCACTTCGTGGGTACTGGATAATGAAAGATTTAGACAAAAGGGAATGAACAAATCCAACTAATACATTCTGTATCACAATATATAAAAATAATTCTTGATAGAGGAGAATCATTGTTACTAATGCATCCTCTGGTATCCCACAGGTACTTGTTGAGGTTTTTCCTACAATAGACAGATGGTTGTAATATGATATCTCTATTTAGGCAGTTTTGCATGCCCTGGTAATGTTTTGGAGTTAACTAGCCATGCAAAAAAATCGTTTGTATCTGCTTTTGTTCTGAAGATGAACAAAGAAAAGGTTACACTGAAATGATAAAAAAATTTAAAGGGACAGTAAGAAATAAAGTATAATTTTCTATTTGCTCCACTGCAGATAAGAAGTGTTGGACACATTCACTTAGTTATTTGTTGTCAGTTGTGCTCTCATACCAAAACACATTGCTGCTGCCAGTGTGATCTGTGTGCTTTTGTTCTCACAGTTGCTTAAGGTAAATACCCAGGAAAATGTACATCTGGATGCACCTTTCTTAATTTCTCAGGAGGATCTAACTTTAGTTGGTTGGAGGGTGCCACATGCAAGGGAGTCCTGAATTTACTAATGTTCTTTGCAGCAAATGATTTGTGACAGATGGATGGGTGGGAAGCCCATCTGCACCATCATAGCAGTTTGAGAGGGAGGTCCGTCTCCACATAAATGTCAGAGCCGTTGGTAAGGCCTGTGATTCATCAGTCAACTTTGAATTGCTGTGAATGAAGTGTAGGGACTGACAGTATGATATTTTACATAAGCAGGAGGGAACAGGAAGTTGGTTCTCTGAGAAACTGTCTGTGGGTTTCATGGTACATAAAGACTTTGACTTAATTAGCTCAGATTTTGTGGAGCTATAGAGAAACCCTCACCAGTGCCCAGGCAACTTCTAAGGGTATTCCAGCTCCAGTTGCCTGTTGGGTAGTTCCTTGAAGGACTCTTACAAATTCTTTTCCTGTGTGGAAGGATTCAGATTCTTTTTTTATGGTCTACTTCTCCTAGCCAGATATTGATCTGTGTTCCTACGTGAATTGCTAAGATTGGAATATGTGGATATTTAAACTCAGTCATGTCTTGCTTCTCAGCGCAGCAACTGTTCTAGTAAGTTACAACAGGCTCTTTTTCTCTAACACAAATACACATGTATATTTTGAGCAGCTTATTATATGTGTCTTTTCTGTGCTGAAGAGATAAAGCAATAGTTGAGTCTTCTGCTTTCTTCAGTGCATGAAGATTTTTAAACCCCTGTGCAGTTTCAGCAGATTCTAGTGGGCCAAGTGATTTAAACCTCAAGATTGCACAGCTTCAGAGTGCAGAGGTGAAAATATGTATTAATGATGCATTGTGAGAATACTAGTTGAAAGGCACATAAATAACCTTTTTTTTTCCCCTTTGTAGCATTCAAACATTAAGGGGAGTAAGGAAAAGGAAAGAGGAGGAACAGGAAGGAAATGATTCAGTGCATGCATAACATTACTGTCCTTCTCTGTATTCACTCATTTGCGTGCATTGTCATTAATAATTCCGGTTAACCTCCTGTTGAGACACTGGAGCCAATTGTTGCATCTTTGAGTTGCCATTTAGGGGAAAGTTGTGTCTCAGTTTGTGTGTCAGCCAAGAAACTACTCCAGAACTCTGATGGCTAGAAGTATTTCTGCCCTTTGTGCTTTTGTCTCGCAGGTTTTTTCCCTCCCCAAGTCGAAGTTTCCATGCTATGAAGGTAAACAAGTCATGGAGGGAGATTAAAAAAAATGAGTGTTTTCCACTCTGTTGAATATAAAGCTGTGACAATAATTGCATATTGCTTATTTTTGTAATGAGAAGCACAGTAAAAAAAATAGCTTTATGATGAGCAGCAATTCTTTTGTAGTAATCTCTTTTAAACCTACATGGGAAACAAATGCAACATGCTTTGGCAGGTATGCTTTAATTCTATCTAATTTTGTGAACTGTTTTTCTTGGCAGAGACCTTGGAACAGTCGGTGCTGTTGCTATAGACAGTGAAGGCAATGTAGCTTGTGCAACATCCACTGGAGGACTCTCTAATAAACTGATTGGCCGTGTTGGTGACACAGCATGCATAGGTATGGGGTGTGGGATCTTGCCTTTCACCTTCTGGAGGCATCTCATTTAAAGAAAGGGGAATAAAAGGAAAAAAAGTTACACATTCTCCTTTTCATTAGTGAAACGAAGCATAAATAGTAGTACATCTGAAATGGAGGCCTAACATTCAAATGTATCAAAGCTCAAGCTCCTTATAGAATGGAGATTGCAAGAAAGGATTGGGAGTAGAGGTGTAGTGCTGTCATTATTATCATCATCCAACACTTTTCTGTCTGGAAAATGGGGATGGGAATTTCTCTTTTTCTGTCTTTTCTTGAATGCTCTCTTTTTTTTCTGTTTCCTTTCTGTTCATTCTGATAGAGCTCTCCTTTTGTACATCTGCGCTTACAGCTAAGTCAAAAAATGTGGCCTGCTCCATATTAAGATGTTGTTTTCTTCATACTTAAGGAGGTAGATGTAATTGCAGTTACTATTTGTTATATCAGTGAGTGAGAATTATTCAGCGACTGGCAACTTTGAGTAAATTCCTGTTCTTAGAGAGCCCTGATAAGAATGCCTCAGAACCTAAAAGATGTGGTGTGGAATAAAGGAAGTATTTTAAGAGATCTCTTATCCAAGTATAAAGAGACACTTGAAATCCTTTACACAGACTTCTTCCTCTCCTGGGACAGACTTGCCATTTGATTGCTTCAGGGTTCTACTGTGCAGCTAGGATTTGGAAAATAATTATTTTTAGTAAAACACATTCCAAACTCCAACAGTAGTGCTGTTGGCAGTATATGATTATTATAAAACTAATACTCTCTTTCTTTTGCACACAAAGTAGCTAATATTTTGGTACCCTCTGCATTTTGATTGTGATTTTGAGCTTCATTTCTGGCTGCAGAATCTCTGACTGCAAATACCCTTCTCTTAGGTAGATCGTGTTCAGGGCTCCTGTAGTCTGGGACATGGTCTGTGAAGGACAAGGGAACTGGGCCCTGTTGAGCATATTGCTTGTAACTATCACTAGACACCTGCAGGATTGGATACAGAAATGCTCTCTGTCCTTTAAACATCAGAAGCTTTGGCAAGGGGCTTTGACAGACTGATTGGGGCAGGGTTTTCCCACGTGTAAATCAGGGTACATCTAACCAAGGAAGTACAGAAGGGAAGAATCTTTCATTGCTCTCCTGTGGCCTCTTTCCTCTCCCCCAGTACCTTGTTTATAATGCTGTGGTATGTTTCTTCCTAGCTCCTGGGACATATTTTTCTTAGGAGATGTGCTAGAAATAAGGGTATTGAGCAAGCAGAAGCTTGGTGGAGAACAGGGTGTGGAATGTGCCAGCAAAACAAGGATGGGAGTTAAAAAAAAAAGAGAGGGAAGGGGAGTTCAACAGAAGAAACTCTCTGCTTGTGGTGAGGATGTGCAAGATTCTTCAGGACTGCTTTGTGATGTAGAGCTTAGGCTGTTCATGTCTTATGTGCTTTTGCAGGTAAGTTCCCCTCAAAGTTTGGTCAGTTCAGCAATGTCCTCACAAGATCTTCCTTCATACCTTCTCAGCTGGTAATGTGTGACCTGGCATTCTGCATCTCCTCACTATCTTGCTGATCTTCAACACCCTCCCTTGCTGTTCTGGAAAATATTTTTGCCCATCCCTGTGGAGCATTTGCTTACTTCTGCTTCTTGTACCACAAGCAGATCACTGGTCTTCTAGCTCTCTCAGCCTGGCAACTGACTTGCTCCAGCTGTTGTTGATCTCTTTCATATATTTAACTTTTCAAACTGAGGCAGAAATGAGAAGGAAGCATTACTGACATTTTGCTCCTAGAAGAAGTGTTTGGTACTTACCTTAAACAATGCAGGATTTGTAAATTGTATTACAGAATACTACATAATATTGCCTTCTCTTTTTTTTTTTTTTTCCTCTGAAAAGGAAGTGGAGGCTATGCTGATAACCATTCTGGTGCCACTTCAACCACAGGACATGGGGAGAGCATTATGAAAGTGGTCTTAGCCCGACTGATCCTGTATCACATGGAGCAAGGTATATTCAAAGTCCCTGTAAGCTGAAATGATGAGGATAGGAAATGTTGCCTAATGCCAGGTTTTGGTTGATGCACTGTCACATAGAACAGTTGTCAGAAGAGTTGCTCCCAGGGGTATGCAGATGGGTCACCTCTCTTTAAAAACAAAACACTAAAGTATTAATAAAGCCAAAATAGCCTCAAGTGGACAGAATTATCTGTGTTGCTTGCTATCTAATCATGCTTTAGATCAATGTGCACTGAAAGACATTACTGTCTACTTTGCCTAACTGAAGTTCTCTTTAATGTTTTTTTCCCAATTCTAAACTAAAATTTTGTAAACAAGAAACAGAAAACAAGTAAGATATATTTAAGGGAGCAGTAGGGGAGGGCTAAGAGATAGATAATCACAGCTGAAATAAGAAAGTATAGGATGTTGCCTCTCTGATAAACCATAAAGATCTTTATTTTAACAACACTGATTATAGCAACAGAAATGCTTTTAAGACTTTTTAACCATGATTTCAATTTTCATTTTGTTTTGGAAAATGTACTAAACTGTCTGGGTGGGTATGTGGTAAACAGCTGACACAGTATGTCTTATGTGACTGTAACATAATCTGCCTGTGGGATGACCCTTTGGAGCTTTACCTTCATGAGTTAGTCTGTCATCTAAACCCTTGATTATATTACAGCCTTTAATATAGCCAGACAACATACTTGTATCTCATGCAGTTCAAGAATCATTAATATAGATATCCCCAGTATTTTTAGAAAGCTGGAGCTTTGGAGTAGTGCACTGTAACTTGCTTTGAGATCAACCAAACTTGAAATAGTTGGAAAACTTTCAATTTGCATTTTCATTGGAGAGGCAGTAAGTAGAGAGACAAGTAACAGCTGAGAATATTAGTGTTATGCTTTATAGAGCTGGTTGCATATAATGGGTGCATTTCTCTCAATCTCATGGCTTGTGTGACAGTTTCAGCATAAAATACAACCTACACATTATTTCCCAAAGCTCTGGCATGTTATGCTCTCCCTTTATTCTCTATATTATGTCCCTACCTATTCAGTTTGTGAATGGCCTTCCAAGCTCTATTTAGTCTAAACCATGTACAGCAGCTTCTCCTCTAGCTTGAATTTGACTGCATTGCAAAACCTATGCATTGATAGCAGCTGTCTGGCTTGTGATAAATGAGTGTGAAAGGCAAATGAGTCTGAAACTAAAAAGTTTATTGTAAAAAGAGAAAAAGAAAAAAGAATATGAACCCACATGTGTGCATGTTTAATTGGTTTGCACTTGTTCCCCCTGCCTGTGCTTGCTGTACCTTCATTCATCCTGCCCAGAAGTGTAACTCAGCTGCTGGGAAAATACGTCAGCAATAGAGTCCCCCTAGTCTCCCCCTCCCCCTGACATGGTTCTGTGAAGGCACTGAAAACAAACCCTCAAGTTATTATAACTTTTTGAGTCCTTGAACAGTCAACTGAAGTTGTATATTTAAGAACAACTATAGAGCTCTCGTAATTCTGTTCAGCTATACAGTAATTCACATACTAAATATCATCTTTCGGACGAATGCTGCAAAATGTACTTCCATATTTCAGGAGTGAATTGCTTTGCCAGTCTTAACAGCTGTTGGAATCTCTGTCTTATGGTGGCAGCTGTTGTCTTGGTGAAAAATCAAACAGTGAAATACTGACCCTTTGAAGCCAGTGCGACTGACTTGAATAGTCACAGTGTCACCCATACGTCAGAGAAAGGAGCTTTATCCTGTCAGTCACCAGCGCTGTGAATAATTCTGACTCCACTGGTTTTATTTGGTTTTAACTCAAAATTTGCAGGGAAGGCATGAAGGTCAGTTTTTGTTCTGCAGCCTAAGCTGCATAACATTACTGAGGGTATATATCTTAGAGCAATTAGGCCAAGCCAACTGCATTCCTGAATATCTATTTAAACTTGTAGTGAACTAGTACTTTCCAGCTATTACAGGTCTGTGTGTATGATGTACACATTGAATTTGATTTATTTAGAAAATATTCCTGTTAATATGAATCGAGTAATGAAAAGATAAAGTTGCCTTGCTGGTCCTTTGTCTGATGTTGAGTACATTGAAGCCTCATCTTGCCTGATGGTTTTGGAAGTTTCAGGAAGAGCAAGGCTGATGTCTGCTTTTGATAAATTATGACAATGTGAAGTACGTGCTTTGAGCTCTGTTGCAGCCAGTGGACTTGGAACACAGATGATGACTGAAATTTTTGATTGTTTTGATGTGGGGTTTTTCAAATAGTAAATGCTTTAGACCTAGCTCGTGACAAACCTTTGATGGAAATGGTGCAGACTGGCATTTTTCCCTTCAAATGACAGCATGAGAAATGTTTTGTCTTCAACGCAGAGTAGGTGAGTTAGTCTGTAGCAAACACTGGAACTGAATTACAGTCTGAAGCTGTTTAAATAAATACTTGCAGCAGCACCACACCATAGCAGCTATTAGCAACTGTCCAGAGCCTTCCTATAAATGGTTCCTTTGCTGCACAGGAAATTTCTTGCTGATGTAGTTGAAAGAGAAATTAGATTTTGACTGGCACCATGGGGAGGGGTGAAACTTGAAGGCAACTTTAATGTCAAGATAGAGAACATGAAGTGATCTCTTTTTCTTTCCAGGAATGTCACCAGAGATGGCTGCAGACACTGCATTAGACTACATGAAGACACGGGTTGGAGGTTTGGGGGGTGTCATTGTTGTCAACAAGGCAGGAGAGTGGGCAGCAAGGTTCTCCACCAAGCAAATGTCTTGGGCTACTGTAAAGGATGACAAGTTGCATTATGGGATTTATGCTGGGGAGAAGCATGTAAAATCTGTTGATGAAGCACTTGCATCTGAAAGTCAGGGATTCTAAGAATGAGGAAATGTTGACTGAGGAAGATTGAAGATCTTCAATTTTTGCTGAAGGACAGTGATACTTGATTTTGTTTTTCTGAAAGATCTGTACTCTTGATTGGTTCACAAGCCTGGCCACATTTACTGTCAAAATGAAATCTGGACATAATTCTTTAGTGGATGTGGATATATGTGTAGTCTTTTAATACCTTTGTGAAGTCAGGGGATCCTCCTTTTCCAGAGAAGAAAGAGAATGGTCAGTAGGATTCTTGGTTAACATGTGTCAATCCTACATTAAAGTTTCAGTATTAGAAGAACTCCTTTCCATGCCCATTCCCAGAAACTGCTGCCAGGATGATTTGAGAGATGAATACCTATTAATTTAAAGACTGAATTTTGAAAATCCAAGGCCTTTTGAGCAGAACATCCCATGATTACAGGTTGCTAACTGTCAGTGAAATACCATCAAAGAGCAGTGAAAAGTTAAGACTAAGTCACTGTTACAGGCTTGAGGTAACTGTCAGGTGAAATAACCAAGTAAAATAACTTTTCTCCAGAGAAGGGAAATGTGATGCTGTCTAAGGAGTTCTAATTCCATTCATTGACATCAGACCAGAGACCACAAAAAAGTAAGTTACGATACTTCACAGTATATGTGGGTAATTAACAGGAAAGGTGTTATTGACTTAATATCTGGGGTAGTAATAAAGAAGGTCACAGTTTCAATAAATGTAACAGCACTCTTTACTACTCAAATACAAAGGTGATAAGCACCTTTTAAGTCTAAACAAGAGATAGATGATGATTAACTAGAAAAATAATCTGAAATTAAGTGATGAAAGCAAGTTGCACTAAAACAAAACTGCCTCAACAAGCTTCTTGTGGGAAGTCTGAAAAGTCTGCAGGGGTTTTCTTTTTAAAGAGGAACTGATGTCCCACATTGCTTCTAATACAGTTACTTCATTAAGATTCTGTATTTTAAAAGAAAGAGCAAAATTCTTTTTTTTTCCTATTTTCTGACTGAACTATGTAATTTTTTGTGTTAAAAACTGTAATAATTCTATGGATTTCAGCATGTGACTACAATTCCTCTGTGGACAAATTTGTATGTTATAATTACATACCATCATTCTGTGGAATGTTTCCTTTACAAGCTAACCCAAATAAACAACAAAAATCTAAAATCATGGTTTGAAACTACTCATACCTGTGTCCCAGCTATGACAAGCTGTGTTACTGGGTTGGCACATACAGGATGGTAAGGTTGCCAAGGCTCTCTAACCTGCTCTCTGATCCATGGTTTCTTAGATGCTGCAGGTGACTGGATGTGGACAGTAGTGGTTCAAGATAAAGTGGCTCATGCAAAACATAACCATGGAGTACTTGTCTACTTTGTTCACCAGAAGATGATGTGGAAAATAGCTGCTATCTGATTGTCAGAAGTTCATGGAATCATAGAATCAACCAGGTTGGAAAAGACCTCCAAGATCATCAAGTCCAACCCTACCATGGTTACTAGACCATGGCACTAAGTGCCACATCCAGTCTCAGCTTGAAAACCTCCAGGGATGGTGAATCCACCACCTCCCTGGGCAGCACATTCAAATGCCTGAGCACTCTCTCTGTAAAAAATCTCTTCCCAATATCCATCCTAACCCTCCCCTGGCAGAGCTTGAGTCTGTGCCCTCTTGTCCTGCTGCTGGTTGCCTGGGAGAAGAGACCAACCCCCACCTGACTCCAACCTCCTGTCAGGGAGTTGCAGAAGGTGAGAAGGTCTCCCCTGAGCCTCCTCTTCTCCAGGCTGAACACCCCCAGCTCCCTCAGCCTCTCCTCATGGCACTTGTGCTCCAGTCCCTTCACCAGCCTCGTGCTGCAGCACTTTAATATCCCTCCTGAACTGAGGGGCCCAGAACTGAACACAACATGAAACAGTAGAGGTATTTTGATGTCCTCATTGGTAGAAAGACGTGGCCTTCCTTTGAGTAAAAGTTAATTAATTTCCCCCTGTATGCATGGGATACCGATTTTACTGGGCCAGGCTGTTTTCTGTGGGGAAAAAAAAGGCAGTATTGGTATAGCTTTGTTTCCAAAATACATCCAGAATACTCGTGATCAAGAATCTGCTTTGTTTACCTCACCTGTCCCTAGTGGAAGATCAAATTCAGGACAGGCAATAGAAAATATGATCTTTGTAAGTTCTGCCAGAATTCTTTGCAATATTGTTTTCCTGAAATTGCTCAATATTGTTGCAATTTTTTTTATGAAAAAGAACCCAACTTCTGGGATGCTTTGTAGAGCTAAATGGTGATACATAGTCATGGATGTGTAGGCTGTGCATAAGAATACAAATTTCTTGTCAGTTACCAGCTTTGTCAGATTATAGATCTGTAGAAGGCATGTTCCTACTAACTTTTCCTTTGCTTGAAGTAGTTGGAGGGAGGAGTGTTTACCCAGTACTGCTCTAACACCTGGTGTACCATCTTTGTCAGGCTCTGTTTATTTGTTATGCTTTCTGAGTGGCTGCAAGCCTCTTCTGGTCATGCTCCAAGCTGACCAAAACACAAGTGATGGTTAGTGTAGCAGCAAGCATAAGCTAATACACCTGCTGGGGAGTTTATTGGCTAGTATTTGGCACTGTGCTAACCCTGACAGTTGCCTTTTGGTTAGCTTTGAACAAGTTCACATCAGCCCAGAAGGTACCAGCAACCACAGCAGCACTACAGATAGGATCTCAGGATGTCAGAAGGAATAGTAAATGGCTACTGTGGTTAATTTGCCTCAGCTGTTCTTAGGAATATAATGTAATAAATTGCTGGCACTTAACAAAGAACATTATCCTGTATAGGTTCTTCTGTCGCTCATCACCAGACTAGCTGGGCACCTTCCAACAGTGCATTAAGCACTGTGACTACCATCTGGTCTGTATGATCTGTTCTGTCTAACCCACTCCTTGGTAGTATGCTCTTTATTCCTTTCTCATGAAGAAGTGTCTGTTTTTCCAAAATATGCCTGGGCTGTTATGCCTTTCCAGTTCGTGTGGGGCTGGGAATGAGGACCTGTGCCTTGCACACGGATTGATGACATTTGATAATCCTTAGACTGGGGTTTGCTCACAGTTCAAATGATGGCAGCTCAGGCAAAGCAATGGTGCCAGCAGTCAGGGCTACTTGCTTTTCTTCCAGCTAGCTGACCAAATCAACACTCTTCAGTAAAGGTATGTGATTTCCTCATCTAATCTGGACAGCAGATAGACCTCTTCTAGGACAGCATTCCCCTTCCTCACAAGGGGAATGATAGAAAATGGTTAGGGACAGGGTAGACCTTATTTTCAAAGAAGCTTGAGAGCTGCAGATGGAAGAGTTTTCCTCTCTCTCTTGCTTTATCCTTTCAGTCATGTTCTTTGGCTGAAACAGGATGAGATGTTTTGTTGCTGCTGATGTAAGAAGTTGCTGGTGTTGCACAGGGCTACCTAATTTTTTAATATGCTTACATGTCCCCTGACCTCTGTGAAAATCGAGAAACTATCCTTTATAAGGGCTTTAACATTTAACAGCTTTTATAAATGTAGTTGAAAGATGCTGAACTTCAGGGGGATACCAACAGCAGGATGGGAAGCTGTGTGCCCCTGCTGTGCACTGCTGCTGGAAATGAGCCTCTAATCCAAATGGCTGTGACCTGGATATCAAAGAAGGAAAATTAGAGGTCTGTTGCCAAGAAACTGGGTGTCCTTGGCATCTAGCAAAGCAGCAACAGTTTTAATTATCTAATTAAACTGTGGCATCCCATTATTTTTATATCATTTAGAAAGCCAGTTGTGGATGTTGTCCTGTTTCTTTCTTAGTGCACTGTAGAAAGGGTCCCTGACCTGTGCAGGTAGCTGTGATGGCTCTGCATATCAAAGCTAAGATGTTAACAAAAGCAGCAGAGCAGTGCTCATTGACTTTGTTCATACATTGTTAGTGCTGTGCGGGTTTTGCTTCTTAATCTTTGCAAGTTACAAGTAATTAACAACTGTTCTGTAGGACACCAGCGTTTGGAAATTTATTTTTTTCATCGTTCTACTTTGTCCTACATTTTAGCTCTGTGTCTCTGGGGTGGTTTTCATTGACTTTGAAATCTAACTTGGCTAAGTTTAATGGCACTTGCTGTTTTGCTTGTTTCTCTTCTGGTCTGCTTTTCCTTTGATATGCTCTGATAAATATTTGCTGTGGGACAGATTTCAATCTCAGTTACGTCAGTATAAATGAAAAGCACAGTCACTGAAGTCTGTGATTATGCTGGAGGAAGTGAAATCAGACATGGGCTCGGCTGTCCCAAGCCGGTAGCTCTGTATTGAAACAGCCTCTGCTAATGAGGAGAGAATAGAGAGAGGACAGAGTCTGCTGCAGGGAGTCACTGTGTGAGGCAGCACTCGTCTCCGGCAGCTCCGGGGTGAAGATGATGCCTAGGGAAATAGTTAAATATGCACACTGGGAGATAAATAAGTATCAAATGATTCGCATAAAAGAATCTTAAGAGCACACAGATAGGGTGAGCAAATAGTCACTTTGGTTTAGACACATGAACCACAAAGGAGGGGAATCTCATTTTCCTTTCCACTGCACTCCTCACGCTTGGTTTATTGGGGGCACGCAGATCCCCTGCAACCTTTGTGTAATTGAGTTTTGTCAGACCTGGTCACATGTGCATTAACTTCAATTATTTTTTACATTTACATTTCTTACATTCTTGCCTTTTGGCCTTTAAAGTTCTCCTTGGTTGGAATGAGGCTTGTTTTCTTGTGGTTCCTCCCTAAGTCCTTTTCCACTGAGGACAGGATGGGTTACGATCTGCGTGGGTTTAGCCCTCCAGCCCTGCACTTTTGACCCTTTACTGCTAGGGCTTTACTACAACTTAAGCTATGTAAATGCATGGTAGCATGCAGCTTAATAAATACTCAGCTGCTTCCAGACTTAATGGCTCTGCCTGGTCCTGCCTGCTTAGTGGCATAGCAGGCTGTGTGCTTAGCAACCCTGGCTGCTGGGCGTGCATCACCCCCGTGCACTGCTTTCCCTGCTGCCTCCCACTGAACACAGGAAATATTTCCAGCTTTTTCTGATGGTGTGCAAAACCTTCTCTAGGTTCCTG